GGGGGGGGGGGATAGATAAAAAAAATTTGATCTCAATTTAAACTGAAATTGACGCGATCGCTTAATTTAGACAACAGATTGCGTTTTCACATGAAAACTTGACAAAATTGTCGATATATTTACGGAAAATATTATATAATTAATTCTTTAACTTTTTATTTTTCGAGATATTTATATTTATATTAGCGCGGTCAAGAATTTTGCTAGTACAATCTTTCATTTTACGTGCGATTAATTATTGTTACTCTATTTTGCGCATAATTTCCTATCGTTCTCGTGGCTCTTTACACTTACTTGATGGCTGATTTGCTGATATAATTTTCAACATTTTTCCAGCTCGCGATAAATACGACTTTCCCATTCGAATAGATTCGCCTGATGTCATTTCAGCTGCTTTCTATTTAATTTGTATCGTTGCGTGTCTCGACTCTGACTCTTCCTCTCTGCCTGATCGGCTGATTGTTATAGCAGTCCGCTGAATTGCAAAATGAAGGGGAAGATAATTTAAAGTCATCGAGAAACAAAAAGTCTCTCTCTCTCTCTCTCTCTGTATATATATATGTATATTATATAATATATATATATATAGATTATTATAAATAGAGAGAGAGATATTATATTATATAATATATATATATATAGATTATTATAAATAGAGAGAGAGATATTATATTATATAATATATATATATATAGATTATTATAAATAGAGAGAGAGATATTATATTATATAATATATATATATATAGATTATTATAAATAGAGAGAGAGATATTATATTATATAATATATATATATATAGATTATTATAAATAGAGAGAGAGATATTATATTATATAATATATATATATATAGATTATTATAAATAGAGAGAGAGATATTATATTATATAATATATATATATATAGATTATTATAAATAGAGAGAGAGATATTATATTATATAATATATATATATATAGATTATTATAAATAGAGAGAGAGATATTATATTATATAATATATATATATATAGATTATTATAAATAGAGAGAGAGATATTATATTATATAATATATATATATATAGATTATTATAAATAGAGAGAGAGATATTATATTATATAATATATATATATATAGATTATTATAAATAGAGAGAGAGATATTATATTATATAATATATATATATATAGATTATTATAAATAGAGAGAGAGATATTATATTATATAATATATATATATATAGATTATTATAAATAGAGAGAGAGATATTATATTATATAATATATATATATATAGATTATTATAAATAGAGAGAGAGATATTATATTATATAATATATATATATATAGATTATTATAAATAGAGAGAGAGATATTATATTATATAATATATATATATATAGATTATTATAAATAGAGAGAGAGATATTATATTATATAATATATATATATATAGATTATTATAAATAGAGAGAGAGATATTATATTATATAATATATATATATATAGATTATTATAAATAGAGAGAGAGATATTATATTATATAATATATATATATATAGATTATTATAAATAGAGAGAGAGATATTATATTATATAATATATATATATATAGATTATTATAAATAGAGAGAGAGATATTATATTATATAATATATATATATATAGATTATTATAAATAGAGAGAGAGATATTATATTATATAATATATATATATATAGATTATTATAAATAGAGAGAGAGATATTATATTATATAATATATATATATATAGATTATTATAAATAGAGAGAGAGATATTATATTATATAATATATATATATATAGATTATTATAAATAGAGAGAGAGATATTATATTATATAATATATATATATATAGATTATTATAAATAGAGAGAGAGATATTATATTATATAATATATATATATATAGATTATTATAAATAGAGAGAGAGATATTATATTATATAATATATATATATATAGATTATTATAAATAGAGAGAGAGATATTATATTATATAATATATATATATATAGATTATTATAAATAGAGAGAGAGATATTATATTATATAATATATATATATATAGATTATTATAAATAGAGAGAGAGATATTATATTATATAATATATATATATATAGATTATTATAAATAGAGAGAGAGATATTATATTATATAATATATATATATATAGATTATTATAAATAGAGAGAGAGATATTATATTATATAATATATATATATATAGATTATTATAAATAGAGAGAGAGATATTATATTATATAATATATATATATATAGATTATTATAAATAGAGAGAGAGATATTATATTATATAATATATATATATATAGATTATTATAAATAGAGAGAGAGATATTATATTATATAATATATATATATATAGATTATTATAAATAGAGAGAGAGATATTATATTATATAATATATATATATATAGATTATTATAAATAGAGAGAGAGATATTATATTATATAATATATATATATATAGATTATTATAAATAGAGAGAGAGATATTATATTATATAATATATATATATATAGATTATTATAAATAGAGAGAGAGATATTATATTATATAATATATATATATATAGATTATTATAAATAGAGAGAGAGATATTATATTATATAATATATATATATATAGATTATTATAAATAGAGAGAGAGATATTATATTATATAATATATATATATATAGATTATTATAAATAGAGAGAGAGATATTATATTATATAATATATATATATATAGATTATTATAAATAGAGAGAGAGATATTATATTATATAATATATATATATATAGATTATTATAAATAGAGAGAGAGATATTATATTATATAATATATATATATATAGATTATTATAAATAGAGAGAGAGATATTATATTATATAATATATATATATATAGATTATTATAAATAGAGAGAGAGATATTATATTATATAATATATATATATATAGATTATTATAAATAGAGAGAGAGATATTATATTATATAATATATATATATATAGATTATTATAAATAGAGAGAGAGATATTATATTATATAATATATATATATATAGATTATTATAAATAGAGAGAGAGATATTATATTATATAATATATATATATATAGATTATTATAAATAGAGAGAGAGATATTATATTATATAATATATATATATATAGATTATTATAAATAGAGAGAGAGATATTATATTATATAA